GTGGCAGGGACCAGATCTCACTGGGGTCACTGGCACTAATGATGGGGGTTGTTATGGTGTACTGCACATGTGTAGACTTTCTCTATAGGCCCTAAAATGTTTTACGTGAAAGCATGCAGAAGACTTCAAAAAGGCTAACGCCAACTTAGACTGTGGCAGATGGAGGATGTCACCAGATAATGCCAGGTGAGTAATGAGAGAGTGTATGGGATGGGCGTGGCAAGGGGGTAAGTTCACACCAAATTGTTTAAAAGTTTTGCTATCCTCTGAAGGAAAACCTGAAGCTTTTGTTTCTGTTTATCCATAACAATGACTTGTCATTTATCCAGATTGCCCTGATGAAGGGGGTCCATTTGTACGTTCAAAATGCATTGGCACACTGGCGCTCAAACCAAACACCCACGGTGGCAGAGTGGTTGACACGGGTGGACCATCTGCGTCTGATGGAAGAACTCCATCACTTTAGTAAGGACACATATAGCACTTTTCACACGACTTGGGCGGGATGGCTGCACTTTAAAACTCAGGACGAATATGTCTCAATGCTATCCGCGTGATATGGTCTGCTTTAAAACCTGTTATTCTATTTTATTTAATTAAATTTTTTTTTTTTTAGTAACTCTGTAAAACTGGCGATTGTCTTTTACCCTAACACACTACGCTTCCGGTAAAATGATTGCCAAGTTCCATTGAGGGGCCCCATCACTGTATTGTTATGCACTGTTTTGCCACATGCCTGAATGCGCATATTGCGCCACGCTTACTCCAAAAGCGCCCCGACCAGGGGATCAACCCCCCCCCCCTGTATCCCTGCGTCTCTTGTCCCCCCTTTTACCTTAGATATCGTATGTAATGTGATTGTCTTAATGTATGCTTAATGTATTGTATGTGTGTTTTTTGTTATATTTTGAAAATCTTTAATAAACATTTAATATGGAAAAAAACAAAAACAAAATGCATTGGCCAAAGATCCTCACAATTCATAAACTGCTTGTAGACTTGTGAATCTTTGTGGCATTCTCATCTTTTTATTTTCAAAGATTTTTTACTTTCAAATAAAAATAAAATACAGCAACACGATAAGAGAACCCCCATAAGACATCATTAATAAAAACAAAAGATACAGGAAGAGACACCCCTAAGAGCTCCCCTTACACTAATGTCATGTGTAGCACTCATCTTTTGTACTTAAAGTAAAATTAAACTTGCAGACTTTTTTCAATAATGAATCCAGATCAAGCAAATATGCATTGTATTGAGTATGTCTTTACATTTTTGCCCATTTACAGTCATCATGTTTCCCAACAACTGACTCCAACCATCTCACATCCCCTTTCCTGAATTTCCAGTTGAATACAAGATCACAAAGGAGGAAGCAGTGTCCAGCTGCTGTCCGTCTACTAGCTTGGAGGAAGGCACAAGGGAGTTGCTTTCCTTGCTGTGCCTGTGTGTTTGTGGAGATGGAGACACGCACAGCTTACTAGCACACACAAGGATAGCTCCGTAGGACCCTGCAAGGGAAAGGAGCCATCCAAAAAAAAGGTAATCAGGATCAGTGCTCAGCTGATTTTGCAGGAAGCTAAAACCTGTGAACATCAAGGAGCAGCATCAATTGTAACTGATTTAATCAGCATTTGAAATACCTTAAAAACCTTTTGAATTATCTTTTGTTCCACACCGTCTTTGTGTGGAGGTGATCATCTTGGTAGAGGAGCAGGGCTTTGGCTCCTCATTACAGCTGCCCCTGATAATTGGTGATCCAATAAATAATGGAGCAATAAAGAAGCAAGTGAGGTTTAGAACACACAGGCCCATAGAGTGAATAAAGCAGAAACAGCAGGATTTGCAGATGAGCATCTTCGGGTACAGCTTCATCTCCAGCAAGATCAATGAGCAGCACGATAGTGATATTACCAAATCTCTCTCCAAGTGCCATGAGATTAGCAGTGATAGGCACAGTGCATAAGATATCATGCTACATATATACAGCTCTGAGACTTAAAGCACAAAAAGTGCACTTCTATATTTTAGGAGGAATTCAAGACACAATTGTGCTTAGGCACAGTTAACAATTCTAGATGTTCCATGTAAGGATGCTAACTTTGAAATGACTCCTAAATGATGATGGTTCAGTTTTGGATTCAGTATGGACACTTTTTCCTTTAAGGGCCTGTTCACACGAGTTTCAGGTCCTGATCAGGTCCGGATCTGCAGACGCGGTGCTACTGATGCAGTGCGTGTTGGCTGCGTTTTTGATGCGTTCCAGTAAAAAAACGGAGTGAGGCTGTTAGTATGTTAGCTGCAGTGCAGTGCATTTTTGACGCATTTGCGTTTCCTGACCGTACAAAATGTGACATGCAGTATTTTTCTGTCGTAACCTGAACGCACGTGAGAACTGTAGCCCATAAAACACCTAGGGATACATTGGGATGCATTTTGAGTGCAGGAGCGTACGGATCAGGTCAGCACACAAAACGGACATCGTGTTAACAAGCAATAAAAGATCATAATCTTGGCTCCTTGGTGGTAAGACATAGAATAGATTGTACTTCTTATTCTCTGCTCTTATATTGATACATTTCTGAGGTATAGGTATGCCGGGTACTTATATCACCCTATTTTCCCTCAAAAAGTGAAGGGAGCTGTCTTATGGGGAATGCATTTTGTTTGGTACCAGCCTCATCCTTTTCTTTTTTTACCTTTTTTTTCTCAGGTAAGTTTCCTTAAAGTGACATTAAAGGCAAACATTTTTTTCCCTCCCCCCAATGTAAATGTCAGCACTTACCTTAAATGATGTCTCTTTTTCCGATCTTCTTCTTTCCTGATGTTTTCAGCCTTCTCTTCAGCGGTGCGGTGGCTCTCCAATCCAGGGCTGACTGCTCTGTCGCTCCGATCCAGCGGTATGTCTGCATGCGGGTGCACGCGTCCATAGACTTACCTTGCGTCCCTCATCGCGTCCCTGGCGAAAATGAGAATTGCGAATGCGCGGGCCCCAAGATCCTTTGCGGCCGCTCGATAAACTTCTCATTTTCGGACAGACTGCGCACGAAACACAGTGCTGTTTGAGCGTTTAAAAAAAACAAACTTTTTGCATATATCTACTGCAGATATATGCAAAAAAAACAACGGGAGGGTTTAAATATCCTTTAGTTGTCCAATTAGCTTCTACATAAATGTAGCCATTTCATAGGTATACAGTTTTTCTGACCGTAATGATTTGAAACTCCAGGATTCTCATACTTTGCTGCAAGCTAGATTGCACTTTTACTTCTTTCTGTTTACAAGCCAAAAGTTTTCCATTATAGTTTTGCCTCAAGAAGGCTTTACTTTCTTAAGGTGAATGCTATAACCTTTAAAGAGGCAGATTCACTTGGACACGAGGAGTCCATTAAGCTATCCTAGAGCTGTTTTACCGGGCGGATTTTCTACGTTTTATTTGTGAGTTGCTACATAATTTTTAAATAAACCTGAATGCTTTTACCTGTTACACTATGAGGGCTCTTTTCTTCTAAATTCCAAACTCGGTGATGATCCCTGGGATAAGGTTGCTGTTAGCACATCCAGGAAAAATCGCCGCTGTACCTGCGGGACATCTCCAGCACCGCAGAGAACAGATTTCCCTTCTACTGAGCCCTAACGCGGGAAGGGCCGAGTCCAAATTTAAGGCAGGACCGAGGACCAAATTGTTGTTAATCTAACGAACCCTTTTACTCACTACAGTCTGGCGAGTACCCATCTATAAGGGGGTCGTCGGTTTGAATTGAACTAGATGAATCAGTGTTTTGCCTTGTGGTTTCTGTTTCCACCTTTCTAATATAGTTACATAGTTACATAGTATTTGAGGTTGAATAAAGACATTAGTCCATCAAGTCCAACCTATTAGGATCTCAAAATGTTCATCCACTGAACATTTTTTTGCCTACCTGATATTTTCATTGTAAGACTGCCATTCTTCAGCTTGAAGATTTCCTCAAACTGTCGATCATTCTTTGAGTGGCTGACACGATCTTCTTGTTTTTGTATATTACTGTTTGCTGATTTTATTTGAACCACTCTGGATTGCTGATTGTGGTTTGACACTTAGTGGTTACTACGATCTTTTGTTACAATATATCGACAGATGATTTAATGCAACACATTTACCAATAAGTTGTTTTTCATGTGTTATCACCTTAATTTTGTCACGATTATCATTGCACATATGCTATTTTTGGACATCTGGTGTTTACTTTTCTCTTAGTTTTTTTGTTATAATTAATTCAAGACCTTTATATTTATTTATAACACCAATTCACGGTTGATTAAATTAATTTAACTTAATCCTTATAGGCTGTGCTAAACAAACACTTTTATCATCACTTATATTTATTCACTTAACCAATATTACCTACCTTTAGCGCTTAGTCACAATTTTTTCGTCAATGCTATAACCTGATCCCACCCGAGCTTGTGCTGGATAAGCCCACATAAATGCAATAGTGTTTGACTGTGGTTATGAGATGCTGCATACAGAGATCCTTGCCATATACTGTACCTGTACTACAGCAGAAGCCTGATCTTTGTGGTATGTCTGGAGCTATATGAAATAGGTTTTACACAACATATTAGTGTTTATGAAAAGTAATACTATTTTTTTGCTATATGTTGATGTAAGTTACCAGCGTAACATATCAGCCACAGATGTTATAAGATTGCACCGACTGAATTCTGTTTTTCATATTACATAGCATCTGTTGCTTAATGATAGTAAATAAATATTGTAATGTCAGCTACAGTATAAATGCTGACAAAGATTTATAAATATGGATAAATGCAAACTTTTATCTTGGAATATCAATGACATTTTAAGAATAAAACAATCCAAATGTTATCTACAATATTGTAGTTTATTTTCACAAATATAGAAAAAATACTTCAAACATAAACTGCATTAAATCTCTGTACACATTTTATAATATATATATATATATACACACATAAAGAATTAAAAGGCAGTCTTTTTAAAATCGTCTAATTTGCCCTTTCTCCTTGGCAGTTAAACAAGTTTTTGGACGTAATGCTGTAGGGAAAGACAAAGCAAAAACATGTCAACAATAGTTAAACCAGTAAAAAGAAAAATAAGACTTTTACATGAAAATGAACAAAGCAATTTAACTCATAATATAGTAAAACACACAAGCAAAAGGTACCTGGATCAGGAATTTGATTCTTCTTGGAGCTGACAACAATTTTATTATCATTCATCATTCTTACATCTTGATCTTCAACAATGTTGCTGTAAGATAAAATATACCACCAAGTAAAGACTAATGGTAAAACAATGTCTAGATAACCACAACTCATTATGAATACTGTTAGATAGAAAAAACTGCGCTAGGAATCAAATAACACTCTAAGAGCAGCTGTGCTTAATAGGTGAGTACACCCAAAATAGGAAAAAAGAAAATAGCACTGCGCTTCAAACTCAAAAAATATTCCTAAAATGTGAGAAAAATAGTATAAAATGTGAAATTGTCACAAAGTGATAAACAATTTTGTGTCATACACAACACCTGTGTTGCACAATGCATGTGCTGATGAGCTCTAGGTCTAATGGTCTAGACCAGGGGTGCCCACAAGGTCGATCGCGATCTACCAGTCAATCGCGTAGCGATCACTGGTAGATCGCCATGTCCTCTCCTCCCGCCGCTTCTCTGGATCCCCGCTGCTCTCCCCAGCGGGGATTCGAGAAGAAGTGAAGGAACCGGCGGCGGGGGAGGGCGGAGCCGCTGTCACTAACTAATGCAGAGCAGTGAGGAGAGAGAGACGCTCGGCCAGGATCTGACAGCCGGCGCCTCTCTCTCCCCTCACTGCTCGTACGTTCTGTCACAGCGGCTCCGCCCCCCCTCCCCCACGGCTCGTCGTATCCCCCTCTGCCCGGGAGAGCAAGGGAATCCAGAGAAGTTGCAGCCCCCCTGTGCGTGGCCGAGCGGCAGAGGATCGGTACATGTCAGTAGTATGTACCAATCCTCTGTGTAGGACAAACAATGGAGCGATCGGCTGATCACTCCAGTGTTTGTAAATAAATGGGGACACAAGAGGGGCCGGCCTGCGCAGCCCACGCCTCCTCCCGCCCCTGAATGCAGGTGTTAAAAGTAGATTTCCAGACGAAAAATAGTGGGCACCCCTGGTCTAGACACTATAAACCATAATAAACATAGTAAAAAATAAATAAATGTGCTAATACATCTCATAAAATGTGTACATATAGAAAATCCTGTGTTAAATCTCACAAGTGATGTAAAACTCCCTCTTAATCTACATAACCATATGTGAAGTCCATTACTTCTTGATACAATAAAGTCCTTGAAGTATGTGAGGATATATCTTCCAACTTTTATAATCAACACCACGTTGGTTAAATGCAAAAACAATTAGTGAATCAGTGCTCTCCCGTCTCCACCGTGCTCAAAGATAAGATCTGGCCGCACTCACCGACTCCTATTGCTCACCATATTTCAGATGAAGTTACATAGCGCATTGCATTGTTACTGCGATTGGATTTTTTTTGTCAGCCTAAAAAATGGTCTTACAGGTGCATGCCATGCATTTTTGATGCGTTCCAGTCCAGACAAAAATAGGACAAGCAGTATTTTTCTGGTCTTGTCTGGAACGGACTGAACTGGTGGGAACAGAGGCCAGAAATAGCATAGGGATACATTGGGATGCATTTTGGGTCTGGAAACAGTCTGGTCTGGAGGTAATCTGGATGTGGTGTGAATGGGCCTTTAAGGCAGTGCAAAAAATGTATTTATATGAAATAATTCTAGATTGAGATTCACGGTGTTAAAAACTAACAAGAAGCTTACAAAGTGTTTGTGAAGGTTCCCATTCATCCAGGTCATGGGGTATCTGTAAAAAATAAGTCAAGGCAACTGGACTGGCTGTATTTTTCTTGAAGATGTTTCACTGGTCATCTGACCAGCTTTCTCAATTTCTAAATTGTAAAAGATGTTCGGATGACCAATAAAACGTCTTCAAGAAAAATACAACAAGTCCAGTTGGACTTACTTTTTCAGATAAGCTTATAAAGTGTTTAATAAAAGGACTGCAGGGGATTGTAAATTACACCGTCATTCCTCTCTATGTCACCCATCACTAGAACAAGAGCTCTGGTAATTCAGCTCTCATAGCTGCACACCTTTTGCTGGAGGCTTCTGGTGCTTCTCTAGCATTGACTGGAGGAACTGATGGGGTGGGCAGAGTATTGTCGAGATCAGTCACGGCTGCGGCGTGGCTCTGCACTCTCAGCATAAAGTGGGCAATAACCCCCTATATACTGAGTTTTCAGTCACTTGAGGACAATAGTATATGTCCCCCCCGTGACCCTGAAGAGAACTATGGCCCAAAAAGATTTGAAAGAAAATTAGTTTGAAGTACCTAATGATGGTTCTTCTGTCTGCTTCTGATATTTTCAGATCATTTGCAAAGAGGATAGTATAATATGGTATCACAGGGTCACATGTTGGCAGGATCCCATGGGAAATGTGGTTGACCATATTTAAAACTCCATTGTACACAAGCAAGTCATCCACAAGGATCTGGGTAGAAAATGCAATAATAACAGTAAAATATTATTAGAGTTTGCAGTATTATAAAATTAGATAGATAGATAGATAGATAGATAGATAGATAGATAGATAGATAGATAGATAGATAAAAAGCAATAGGCACTCCATCATGTAAGAATAAAATGTTTTATAGACTACAATAAAAAAAATAAAAAAAACTTAACCAAATAGTCCCTCAAATTATCCAAAGAATATGGTTAAAATCTTAGAAATGTTGTCTAAAAAGAAACTCCAAAAACACATTTACCACCACATTAAAATCATCATACTGCCAAAAGTATAAACACATGAACTTTGAAACAATACTAACAATAGCAATGTTAAAGTGTGATATTAAAGGTAAAAACATTTTCAGCTATTTCAAATGCAGATGAAATCAATTTCGATGGATGCTGTTACTTGATGTTTAAAAGTTTTATTTTCCTGCAGAATCAGCTGGTCCCATGAGCACTGGCCCTGATTTAGGGTTGCTCCTTTCCCTTTTAGGGTCCGATGGAACCACCCTTGTGTGTGCTAGTAAGCCGTCTCTGCTCCCTGCTTATCCCTCCTCCCTTCTTCAAGCTACTAGATGGATAGTTGCTGCAGACTGTCCCTTATGATTCTGTACTAGACAGGAAGTTCAGGGAAATAAAGCTGAGAGAGTTGGAGACAACTGTTTGGAAACAGGATCACTGTACCTAGTTGGGCTAAAATATGAATACATATTTTGCTAGGCAATGTATTTGTTTGATCTGGATTCAATATTGAAAAAAGTTTGAGAGCTTACTACTACGACTTTAGTTTGTTTTGGATTTTGATTTCAGTTTTCAAGATCTGATTTTAGCAATTGTGATGGAGTCCAATAGAACAGGTTACACATTTAACAACCTTATTATTCAATGTACTAGACTTTGGTTTAGAGTAAACTGTTCACTTTGCAAGGAAAATTTTCACTTTGACATCTCATGCAACACATGCCATAAAGAAAATAGAAAAAGAATAGGTGGAAAGAGAAGCTGTTTGTAAGCAATGTCTTGAGTTTGCCCTTAAAGATTGGTTATACCCCACAAGGATTCTTCAGAGCGTGGCCTACTTAGATCACTCATGCTCCAATACCACAAGTGAGTGACCGTAAAAGAACTAGTGCGGTACGTCATCAAGAAACCTATGCTAACTCTGAAGGAGTTACAGGCCTCAGAGGCTGGGACTGGGGAGATTATGCATGGAAAGTGGCAAAAGAAAGCTACATTTAACCGTTTGCCAGAATGCAGGTAAAATTAAATATCTAATTAATTTTCAAACATATTAGAATAAGTTAGCGGTTGTAGTAACATATATCTTAGTTTTATGAAACTGGTAAAAGTAAATCTAATGACCAAATTAAGGTGATTGCAACAGTAATTGTAATTAATACTTACACCAAACTCTTTTACTCCTCTTTGTGGGGTTTTAGCATAATTCCATAGTTTGATCATTGACACTTTGGTTGGTTGATCAAAGACAACATAAATTCGATTAACCTATCACAAAATAAGGGGTTTCCATTATAAAGATACAATGTTGAACATGTAGATTACTTTCATTAGAATACATTAATTAAACCAATAGTAGTAGGGTACAGCAGACATCTGCAGGTGCTTGCACATCTCTGTTAAGCTAATGTCACCTTTGGCATAAAATCAACAGCTCATTTTGCCCCCCATCCTCCCCAGCAGTGAGTTGGCACCCTGCCAGCCTTCAAATCTCCCATGTAAAGACAAAGCACAGTAAGACGGAAGAGGGAAAGAACGCGTAGAGACCAGACTTGCAGAAATTCACTGCATTTCTTATGAACTTTTTAGGATGAATTGCCCCAAGGTACCTGCAGCTACAGACTTAGACTTTAGTAATGATAATGGAGATTTACATGTTGAGTGCACCAAGTTTATGGGCTACCAGTTGCTAAGGAAATTAAATGAAGGTATGTAGTGTAAACTCTTGTTACCATGATCCCAACTTCATTACCTATGATAGATTTACCTTTAAAGACCACTTGAATCTTCATTTTAAATCAGCTAAATTCATTCCAGACGCATAAAACTATATCTTTCAATGTATTTTTTTTTAAGCAGCCACTGCCTGAGAAGAAAAGCCTGTCCCCTGCCAGCAGCTGCAAAGAGGGACCCTTCATTTCTGTTGGGGTTTAGTGCTGTCAATGCAGAGATCAGACACACTCTCCTATTGAGCCAGTCCTATGGCTCTGCATTTAATAAAGCTTATGGTCCCAGCTGATTGGGGAGCTCTAGCTCTGACTCAGCAGGAGGTGTGCTGAACCTGTGCAAAGTGATCACTGCTTCCCCATATTGAGCAACATTCCCATTCTGCACCATACAGACAGGGCAGGCTCAGGCTGTGGCTGGTATTTAAACTAAAAAACTGTAAGACTTTGCACGTTTGTTTTGACAAACTTGGATTTTATTTAGCCAATTTAAGCTGAAAGGACTTTAAAACAAGAAACTTGCCATCAACCTGAATAATCAAAATGTATTATTGACCTACAAATCCTCTACGTTTTGAGTCCACAGTTTTATTCCAACATCAAACTCAAAGACCAAATACTGTACCAAAAAAAGATACCCAAAAAGATACCCAAAAAGATGCACGTACATCCAATAGTGTTGCAAAAATAATAAAAACAGTCTTTGAGTTTTATCAACCTGAACAGAAAACAATACAATATTGTAACACATACCAAGCCTGGAAGAATTGGAGAGAGCCAGGCATGTCTGCCATCACTGGTATTATTTATGTCATCAATTAGCTTGTCAGGGGTTCTCACATCTCCACATATTCCTTCTAAAATGTTTATGCTTTCTGGAAAAGCAGCAATATCTAATAAATTCAAGTTCAGGCTTATACAAAGTTTTGGGGAAGTACTATAAAAATAAAAAAAACAATTAGCGAAAAGTAAAACATCTATTAACACTTATGTTCCTATACTTTATCAGAAAATAAATGGCTATAAAGGCCTTTGTGGCCAGGGACCATTAAAACCTAGATGCCCAGGCCATATTTAGCAGAGTCTCTCTCTCTCTAAATCTATATCTTGTATATACACACACACAGCCACTAACTAATAATGATGTCAGGAATCTAATGGGTTCCCAAACAAACAGGCAGCACATGTATCTTTCTGCTGTTCTGTCAGCAGTCAGCTTTTTCTCACAGCAGAGAGAAAGATGGAGAAAAAGAGCTCTTAGCATCAGTAAGCTCACATATAAAAAAAAAAAAAAAAGTTAGTGAACTGCTTTTTTCATTGTAAAGCTGTACAAAGCCCGCAGGCTCCAGGAGCCAGACCAGAACTTATTAAGATCTGAGAAAAAAAAAAAAAAAAGTTTGTTTTCTCTATAATAATAGACAAAAATCCTTGAGCTCCTCACCATGTGTAGGTAAGAAACCTAGGTGACATATAGAGTACATACGCTGTCCATAACCCTGCCAAGCCAGTGATATATATATACACATATGGGTGAAACTCGAATAATTCGAATATCGTGCAAAGTTCATTTATTTCACTAATGCAACTTAAAAAGGTGAAACTAATATATGAGATAGACTCATTACATGCAAAGCAAGATAATTCAAGCCGTGATTTGTCATAATTGTGATGATTATGGCTTACAGCTCATGAAAACCCCATGCCATCTGCAGCCCAAAGACATATTTTGTGAATTAAGCCCCAAGCCTGCATGTGATCGCCAAGTCACTACCAACATAGCAATCACCAGAAATTACTCTATTGGTCCCGATAGTAAGTGAGAACCAACGCTGTCAGTCACAGTTGGGTCTAGCACAGCGATGGTGAACCTAGGGCACGCATAGGCCCCTCTGGTGGCACACGAGCCTAGGCAGGGATGTCAAATTATGCTTGCCTGACACCCAGGACATTTGCGGGATGCTGGGCGGGTAGGTTTTTTCTACATTTAGCCCTGCTTTAGGCAGGCAGGCCTAAATGTAGAGAGGGGAAGCCCCCGCTCGTTTAGTACAAGTGATGCCACCAAGATCACTTGTAATAAGCCTGCTGGTTATTAGATCAGTGCATTTCTATCAGGTCAAATCCATAGCTGCATGTTATCTCTTTCTGCATTATTTGGCCCAGGATTTTAATTCTAAATCCTCATCCCAAAGCTATTTTTACTGGAGAGAAGCCTTTGAACTCTTGCACCCTTTGGAACATTATTCAACTGAAAAGGATACTATTTTCGGTGAGCTTAATTTTTTCTCCATGTTCATCATACATCTCCAGACCATTCAGTCCAATATAATATGGGTCTCCCCAAGTGGTGAGCAGCTGAAATTGGAAAATAACTGAAAACAGACATTAAGGAAAATGCTTTTTTTGTGACATTAAAAGAATCCTACAATATATTGTATTTACACTACAACAGAGACAATATATTGAAGACAGTCTTTCAGCTGGGACACTCATTTTATGTAATGTTTTTTTCTTTGGTCCCATAACCCAAAAACCATCAGCGAACATATCAGACTGTGAAATTATTCTACACTCGCTAGGCTATCTAGCACCTTTTACGGCAGGGGTAGGCAAACTCCGGCCCTCCATCTGTGCCAATCATGCATCTGCCTCTGGGAGTTATGCCTGTGGTTGTCAGTCTTGCCATGCCTAATGTGACTTGCAGCTGCATCACAGCTGGAGGGCCAGAGTTTGCTTATCCCTGTTTTACAGTATATTAGCAATGCTTAAATGGCAAAGTGATAAGCAAAACAAGATGCTGTTGCATTTGGATTTCTACCATTTTATTACACAGTATCAATGCTCCTGCACTACAGCCGCCCATAAAACCAAGCAATACTCCTCACTTTGAGCATTACTTGTGATTATCAGGCTGTTTGTGATATGTTTGTTGGGAAATCTTTCTAAAAAGTAGTCCTGATGGTCTTGTGTGTCTACACCCCTTGCCCCCCTACAGATCCAAACATACCTCCACTGGCTGTGGCCTCCCACACTGTTTGCAGCCTAGTCAGTAACAATCTAGTGCCTAGCTGCCCGCACTTGTCCATTAAGGTCCCATAAACTTGAATAAGCCACTGCTCCTGCTAAAAAGATATGTCTCAGGCCTAGTCAACCAGGCACTAACTGTAGTATTAGATGCAAGGTCTGCTTAAATGTTACACACAGAACCAAACATTTTAAATAAAAGGATACAGCCACATGGCATCAATGGTGCTTCATAATCCATACTGGTTGGCACTGTGCACTTTAAATAGCTAACAAAGGAAGAATAAGCATTTAGTCTGGAATACACTTAAAACAAAATATTACATTTACAATTCAATTTTGGTGTGAACCTAGTGGGGGGAATTTTTCAAAACTGGAGCAGACAGAATGTGGAGCAGTTGCCCATGGCAACCAATCAGCTTCTCTCTTCAGTTTGCTCAGGTAAGATTTGAACATGAGACAAAGAAGCCGATTGGTTGCAGTGCAAATCTGCTCCAGGTTTTGTCTGCTCCAGTTTTGATAAATTCCCCCAATGTATTTTATATTTGCCAGAAGCAGTGCAAAAGAGTGACAGTTTTTGCAAAATCACAAATCAAAAGAATTGTTAAAAATAATAAGCAAGACTCATTCACTAATCCTGCAAACAGACAGAATATTAATTTCTTGCTGTTACCTGGATTGTTTATTATATTGACGTTCTGTCACATAGTCAACAAAAAGAATCTCTTGTGCAAAATCAAAGTGACAGTTACCAGGACCCTTCCGGATCAGAAATCCCTGAGGTGGAGAAATGCAGCATCCATCAAGCGTTACATGGACAATTTTTGCCTTAATGAAAAAATATGGTCAGTCAGACAACTAGTAAAAGTTGAAAACAAATGTTAACAAAATTATATATTTTTTAAATTAAATTTATAAAAAAGTGTTTAGAATATGTACATTCTAAAAGAGCATTTAGGAGTTTCCTCCAGTCTGGGTGTTGCATCTCAGTGCTGCTGATTTCCTGCAGCCACCTAATTTCTACATGCATACACTCCAGTAATGGTTGCATAGCTTTTCTCAGTATAGGTTTCCAAATGGTGAAAACAAGGGACCATGTCTGTGCAATCTGTGTAGTCTCCATTGGAAGCCCATGTGGGAGACAGACAGAGCATTTTCACACTAAAACAGGAAATGCCTAAACAAGGAACTATATGAAAGCATTGGCAGGTAATATTTTAATGAAAGATGCAGATATAAAAATATTTAAAGCAAATTTTTTTTAAATTAACCCTTGCAGTGGGGCTACCCCCCCCCACTGCAAGGGTTAACTGCTCGTTTGTGTCTAGGTTCAAAAAACACAAAAAAATACTCACCCAAAACTCAGAGCCATCTTCTTCTTAGACCGGTCTAAAGGTGGCCATACACTCTACAACCATCGCAAGACTTTAGTCTTGCGATGGTTGTACAGGGATTAAAAAAACGTACGATCTGCCTATCTTGGACAGGCAGATCGCACTCTCGATCATCGCAAGCCCGCCCCCCTGAGGGGCGTGCTTCCGATGACCGCAATGCTGAACGGGCAGTGTGCGCGTGCGCACACCGGCCCGTTCGGCATTTGTCTTCCGAGCACCGTTCTAACCAGCCGAGAATCGTACGATTCCCGGCTGGTTTTCAAACATGCTGGTTCGACAGAAGACGTGCGACCGTACAGTAGAAACGGTCGCACGTCTCCGTTCACACTGCTCGATTATCGTACGAAAAACCGATCGCATACGATTATCGTACGATAATCGTGCAGTGTATGGGCACCTTTAGGAATGTCTGTCCCCACCCTCTGCAGCAGTCTAAATGTCCAGTAAATCATCACGTCTATACACTGCACATAGACATAAGGACGCTGAGGAACAATTCAATCTGCTGTGAAGGAGAGGACAGGCTGGAGGGAGCGCCATGACATCTGGCTGGCTCGGAACTTTGGGTGAGTATATCTTAGTTAGATTAGCACCTAGACGCAAAGGGGCACGTACAAGGGTAGTACAAGGGTATCCCCACTGCAAGGGTTATTAAATAAAATCTGCTTTCATTTTGGAATGACAACAACATTATAGGAGATGTTAGTGATAGGGGTTATATATATATTATATATAGACTTATCCAGGATCAAAACTTCTAAATTATTATTTTTTTCATATTTTACATTTGCAAAATCTTTAATACCATAAAGGTAAACGCCAAGGGCCAAAAGGTATGAAGAAAAGAATAGCGTTTTAGCCTCATTGAAAGTAATCAGGTGAAATATAGAATTTCTCGTCTTAGCTGCACTGTCAACCTTGACTAACACTCTCCCAAGATAATCACCCTTTAATGTCTGCCTCTCACTTTGTGTAGGTAAAAGGCGATAGGGAGATAGGGAAGGTTAACTTTCTATCGATGTAGGCACACCCCAGACCTACAACAGCTGTTTGAATTTTACAAGCCTGGTGATGATGGCAAAGCCTCAAGATACCCTTTAAAGGAGAACTATGAGGTGAGTGCTTTTCACTCACCTCATCGTTCTAGCCGACCTGTGACAATGAGACTGTCACAGGTCGGCTCAGTAGATCGGGAAGTGAGCGAACACATACCGGTGTTCGCTCACTTCTCGATCCTGTCACGGCTCTCTGCCGTGACAAGGGAGGGGCTGGATTCCCCCCTCCCCGCTCCGATCTGCCAGCGCTGACTGGCGGAACGGACGGGGGAGGGTACAGCTGGCTCTGCCTCTAGATAGGCAGAGCCAGCTGTCACTCACGCAGCTAGGCGGATCTCGACATCGATGTCGGGATCCGCTCCGGCGTCTCCGTATACTGAGCTTAGGGTGACGCTAGTTTGTGTCCTCCCGTTACCCTTTGGAGAACTATGGGGAAAAGCCCTGACCCCATAGTTCTCCTTTAACCATGACAGTTAAGGTCCCCACACACCTTACGATAGTCGTACAATAATTGCGGGAAATCCCGCGAACGTACGATTATCGCAAGGTGTGTGGAAGCCGTGCGACCTCTACTACTGTAAGATGTACGATGTTCGGCTGGTGTGTGGCATGTTTGTAAGATAAAAGCCGGACGGGCCGGTGTGCGCAAGCGCACATTGCCCGTTCGGCATTGCGGTTATCAGAAGCCCGCCCCTCAGGGGGCGTGGCTTGCGATTATCGCAAGTACGATGTGCGATGGTTGTAAAGTGTGTGCCCAGCCTTAGTCATTACAGGTATTATTTCATCCCACAAAAGATTAACACTTTAAGGTACATGTTATGTTCATTATCATTATTTCACTCATATCTGCTGTAATGTTACTTTGTATACTCAATAATACAACTCATTATAAAACTCATTACCCCTCTATATGTGTCTTCAGGAGACTTATTGTAATTCCAGAACCGCAGTCCAGCAATTGTCTCTGCTTTATTAAAATTTATTGTTATAGTGTGATTTTCTCCAGCGGTAAATGGAATAAGCCACATGTGAGAATCTTCACTGGTTATTTTTACACCATCGATGAGTCTAAAAAAAGAAAATTTAAGTTTCTACATTTTTATTTATTTTAGTACAGTGATATGGTGCCTAAAAAAAGTATTCACTCATTAGAAAGTATTGAAGCACAGAACAGTAAATCAAAGTTGATGCATTTATTTACACATATCATTAAATACAAGCTCTTTCATGACAAAGTGAAAGCAGATCTCTACAATGGGAGTTAAATTAATTACAAAGAAAAAAACCCCACAAGAACACAACATAACAGCTCTTTAATTTTGGCAAACTTAAATCATAACTGGTGTAGCCAAGCAAATATGTGTATAAATATATATCTATATATAGTATATCTCTATCTATCTAGATAGATAGATTTTATATATATATATATATTGCAAAACTAATGATAAGAATACTTATATTGTGCCTACAAGTTTAATACCTTTGAATAAAAGGTATGCCAGAGGCATGTTGGGATTTGTAGTTAACCACTTGAAGTCCGTGGTTTTAAACCCCCTTCCTGCCCAGGTAATTTTTCAGTATTCAGCGATGCGGTACTTTGACTGACATTTATTTTGTCATGCAACGCTGTACTGAAAGGGGTGACAGGGGCCCCCCGACCCCTGTCACCTAGGGACCCCCAAAGAAGCTGATGAAGCAGAGATCTGCTTCATCAGCTTCTTCTGTGGCTCCCAGCCAGAGGACTGACAGCTAAAGGCGGAAGTGATGTAATACACTTCGCTTCCGACTTGAGAGAGAGAAGGGGGAGAGATCAGCGGTGGGAACTGCTGATCTCTCCTCCTTTTCACTTTGAGCAGCTGCTGTGCCGGTCCTGTCAGTCCTGGGCACCGCAGTGGGGACAGCGGTGCCTGGGGTAACGGCTGTTACCCTTCCTGGCAGGTTTCTGCGAGCAGAAAAAAAAAAAAAAGGACGTACATTTACGTGACATTGTGGTTTACACCATCATGACAAATAAACACTAAAAATTAAGTAAGCTTATACATACTTGTCTAAGGTCCTGTCATCATCTTGATAGTCAGGAAGTACACTAAGGTCTGGAGGTGATGCAGATATTATGTTCATATTCAAAGGCAATGGTTCACCATCTAGTCCCACAATTTCAAGTTCTGTAAGTCCAAGGTAATGCAAGTCCCCCCACGTCATTGCAAAATTCAACTGAAGACCTTAGTAAAAAAAAATTGTACACTTTAATTACTTAATTCATCCATCATCCATTGATTCATTCATTCACAGGCTGGGGTTTTGAGAGAGGGGCTACGTTTATTTTGGACCTCCCCCTCAGAGCAACTACCTGATTTTAAAGGGGATGTGGGCTGGTATGAGAATAATACAAGGCCAGCCTGCTCATGCTTTTATTCATGCTGTGGAAGCTCGTATTCCTGGTGTGTTAGGCTATTTATGCTTCATAGTTGAAGCCAAAAAAAAGTAACAAAACTATCTTATAAAACACATGCATCTGTGTATCTGGATGAAGTGTGGCAAGGTTTTAATAACTTATCTGCAAATTTGCTGCGCAGGTGCTCTAGGATGGAGTCTACAACCCCTGCCACTACCAGCCTTCTAGCAAGCAGTACAGAGCAGACCACAAAATACAGAGGGGAGGTCCTGTGTCCGGTGATGCACTCCAAGAAATGGACTTTACAAGTAAAACAAAAATCCTGTTTGCTTGAACATACATCACAGGACACAGGGAGTTAAAAATTCTTTACCTACTAGGATATTCAAAAACAGTCCAGCAGAGGGGTGGGGCGACACAGCAAATAATGACTGATATGCCCAAGGAACATCAACAACCGCCACAGGGAACAAGAAACAGAGGCATAGAGCCATGCCTGAGGTTACATGACCACCTGAAGGCATCCACAGAGGACTGAATGTCCACCCAGTAGAACCTGACAAAAGTGTGCACTGAGCACCAGGTGGTGGCCCTACAGATTTTTAAAAATCAAAGCCTACCTAGTAATAAAAACCCCAAGACGTATTAACACCTCTAGTGGAGTGTGCATTGCCAAGAAAAAGATGAACTTTCCTCCTATGCATGTGGGCCTGAGAAATGGTCCAATTAATCCAACCAGCAATAGTGAAATGAGGGGCTGGTAGGCCCATACGGGGACCCCCTGGGATAAGGAACAGAGAGAGTCAGGCTAGCCAATAGCAGCAATTGCAGAGAGGTAAAGGCTAACCGTTAAAAATTACATCCAAACAGTGGAGAGAAATTTCTTTAGGATGTTTTGGAGCAGGGCATAAAAATGGTAACACTGGTTAACATGGAGGGCAGAGACCATCTTAAGAAGAATGGAGGCCTTAGGCCTCAGCACAACGTTATTCTTATGGATGACCAGAAAAGGATCCTTCCATGTCGAGGGCGCTAATTCAGAAACGCCTACCAGAAGTGTTGTGTATGAGGAAGAGTAATTTATACCATCAGTTTTGCAGAGTTTTATCACAAAGTCAAAGATCTATTGGCTCCAAAACTCATAACTATTTATATGTATGTGGCGGAACAGATAATTCTTATATTTAAATTAGGAAAAGGTAAATTTTTCCTTTGAATCATAAAGATTGATCCCCCTAATACATTTAAATGTTAAAATCCTTTAATGTTACCAACTAGACTAAAACAGATAATAAACAAAAGTGACCATATATCAACATTAGGGAAATCTTTGCTAATGTGCAAATCAAACAAACAACTCAGGCAGTAGTTTCATTATCTTCTTTGGTACCTTTTAAAACAATCAATTTGGAGGGTTGACCATATATGATGCAAGTACTATTTAAATCTGGATTGGTGCCCAGTTCATGAAGTGGCTACTATATACCCAGCCACTTACTTGCAGTACAATCAAATTTGTTCAAAGGATCACTGCGCTAGAACTGGAATCTATATAGCTAATAGGACCAGCAGCAACTCTGTGTAACAAAAGTATCTGAAATGGCAAGTAAGTTGCGCTTGATCTAAATTGATGTGAATTCCAAAGTGAAGGGTAAACTAATACATCACAAAAAACACCTAAACTTCTGTAAAAATACAGAAATCTTCTATCTCAATGTGTGATCAATAAGTGAATAATCAAACGATCAATATAAACCAATCTCTTGAATCAAAAGAAAAAACATAATTAGTGTATAAATGCCGGAAGTTGACGGCATGTGAAACGCAGAACATGTATTCAAACACCCCAGTGTCTCAATAAATATATGTGACAGAAGCACGGTGCTCCCACAGTGTAGCCTATGTTATGGAAATTCACTTGGTTCAACGCACAAATCCATGTCGCATTAAGCTGCGCCAAACGCAAAGAATTTCCCCCGTTGTACTACGCTCCTTTATGCAAGGACTGGAAGTATCCCCTTCTATAGAGTCATGTAGAGTCAGGAGACAGATGTTGCTTGTTCGTTAATCCCATGCTAAGAGACCTGAGCACAGGTATGTTTATTGTTTATACCTGCCCAACAGGAAGTGATGTCAGACAGGAAGGGGTGTCTCAAACAGTGAGACAGGAAGTGATGGCAAACCAACAGATGATTTCAACAACCAGCAAACCAGGAAGTGGGACAGACAGAAAGTGAACAGGAGTCAGCTAACAAATCACATGTAGTAACAATCAATGACCACCTGAGTGACTTTATCCAGCGCGGCTCAGTGAGCAATGCCACATAACGTTACTAGGATTCTCATGCGCGCTCATTCACAGGGATAACGTTATGTCATCTCAAGCGTGTTGATCAGGCACACCAGAGAGAACAAACACACGTTCCTTTCATATACTGCGTTGCAAACAAATGTATCCACGCAAGCCAATAAATCCATGCATTGCACGGGGGGCCCCAGCCGGCGTCCATACATTCGCCAAGAAGACACTGCTCCGCTGCGCATAAGAAATCTCCTCCAATGGATTAATCCCCCAGCGTCTATTTAAACTGAGACACTGAGAGACTAATGACAAAACATTACAATACACTAATAACGCATCCTAATAAAATTTCCACAACACCTAGAGTCCTCTGTAACGAGCGAATGAAACAGAAAACCAAATAAAGCAACTTAATTGTAATCCTTATATAGGTGACCCATAGATATAACACTCTTACATGTGCCAACTTAATCTAGTGAGCAAAAATAGTGATTTCAATAACCTATTCGTGAAAATATAATAATAATATAATAATATAACAATTATCTTAATAATTATTAATAATATGCACACACTTATCAGTGTCTCAATGGCCAAAATGAACAGTGATTAAACCCAATTATGTGAAGTAAGATATACTCTCCGATTCCCATCTCAGATGGATACACAATAGTATACCAAACAACCACGGGATTAGATATATTGAATAATCTCAGCGATATAGCAAGCAGTCAGTTTCTGAGGTTTTTTGCAGTTTATATGAGACGGGATATAAACGGTTATTTCCTTCTCTCAATGATATTTAAATGAATAATCCGTTCATTTCCCCGGTAGATATCCTCCAGAATATATCCAACCTGTTATTGATTGAAAAAAATGGAAAAAGTCCTGAGGTTCTAATATTCCATCCCCTCCTTAAGTCTCCAGTTGGAGACTTAGTCATTCAACCATCTTGTCTTTCTCTTTTGACTTTCTCTTTCTAAAGCAACGAAGCAACCTCTTGTAATAAGCTAATTTAACTGTAAACAAGTACAAGGCCTCAGCTAGAATGAACTGGCCTTTTTTTTTTTTGAAGGCCATTTTGTAGATAAGGTCTATGTGCATACGCAGTCAGTATTATGTTAATCACTGGAAGATATTTAAACTTTAGGCTCAATCATTGAACCGGGACCTATTTTTAAGCTGAGACGTGTGTCAGTTTGAATTCACGTAATAGAAAAGTCATTTGCACTCCAACGAGAATTTCAGTCAATGCACTTTATTGACAAAAGAATTGTCACATCGTATAGCAACGTTTCGGAACCGTATAGGTTTCTTCTTCAGGCACAGTTTTTGTAATTGACTGAAATTCTCATTGGAGTGCTAGTGACTTTTCTACTACGTGATACTGATCTGCAGAGGCATGTGCTGCCCTCTCAGTACCCACCCATTATTTTGGGTTATATTCGGTCAGGAGTGCAATGGGATCTACTTGAAATCAGTTTGAATTCCTCACATGATCATGCTAAAAGAAAAGGGCATTATTTTACACAACAAGCAACCTGTCGAAGACACTTCATTTATTAATTTGATTTGAGGCATCCCAGTATTGTGTCTATTTTAGGGCTGCAACTAAAGATTAGTAGGCCAATTATTTTTTAGATTAATCGGATACAAAAATACCATATTTTATTCAAAATAAAATACACAAATGGAGTGTTACAAACAGTTTAAGTCAGAATAAAATGGTATGCACATTTTTTACACCCAAACTGCACTGGAATGCATGGCATTGCAGTACCGTGTGTTCCAGTGCAGGTGCTCACACTGCACACAGGTTCTCTTTAAGGTCACATTAGGGGTCTTTTAGACCCCTAGTGTCACCTTTCCACTTCACTGGGGAATGACAGCTGCCTGCCGAGGCAGCTAAAAGTATACACAGCAGGCAGTGGCTGGGAACAATAGCCAGCCTGCTATCGGCTATTTTAAATTTCAATAGCCAATAGCAGGCTGGCTATTGCACCTGCCCACTGCCTGCGGTCAATCAGCAGAGGAGAAAACTGAAGTAGAAAGTTCAGTGCCAGCGCAGGAACGGGGAGGAGAGACCCATGTACCTCTGCATTGCCCCGCTGGTGCCAGCTGCAGAGGTCTGTGTCCCCGCTGCCTCTGCCGATACAGGTGGGGAGAGCAGAAGGGTTTGAAAAGGACACAGACTCCTGCAGCCGGAGGGGAGGAGAACAGAGAAGCAAAGTGGAGGCAGCTGCGGATTCAACTAATAAACCAACTAATCGATAATGAGAATCGACCATTGGTGGTGGTGGATGACATTCTTCAAACAAAATTGCAAAAAAAAAAACTGTTTAGTGATCATTAAAACTTACCATTGAAATACTGTATATGTAACAATATGTATTTTCCCTTTATTGTGTATGTGTAAATACCATCTCATGTCTGATTCACTTGGCAAGTACAGGAATACTGTTTTTTGTTAATAACAGGATTTTTCTACCTACAAAATGTAAAATCCCTTTCTTGGAGTCCACTGA